CATGTGCACAGTAATAAGAGATGAATGAGACTTGGTGAAGAATCATCTTATGTTTTAAAATGTTTTAATTATCAGTATAAGTGGTTGGTTTAAATACAACTGCCTTTAATGTGTTCATAAATCATAAGTTTAAAACAGTAGTACAGTTTAAGGGCTTTGTGCGGTTCTACAGGATTCAGACCTGCAGAGCAACATCTCTGTTTTCACTTTGTCTCTTTAGATAAGATGCTTTGCAGAACATCAGAAAGCAACATCAAGAATTTACAGTCACTGCTTGAAATACAATAAATGAATCAGTCATTACAAAATATTGCACTTTTTTTTAGTATGTTTACAATAAATGCATTTTCTTGGAAACAATGCCATTTATAGGATCACTTCTACAGTGTGCTGGCATGAATGGAGTTTGTAGATTCTTGGACTTCTGTCAATTTTTTAGCGAACGTTTGTATTGGAATTGGTATACTTTTTTTTTAATCGGTTAGTCTGTTTCAGATGTCATCTTACATTTTCTAGCCTATATATATTATATAGCCATTTATACAAAAATCTACACAACCTACAGCAATCCGGTTGCTTTACCAGGATGCATGGCTACTAGGTTTAAGGTTCACCTGTTAGATGAGTTTTCATGTGCTAATAGTTAAAGAAACATCCTCTGTAAGTCACAATAATGTGAACATGATGTTATAGAATGTTCTTAGCAACTGATACTTGGGCTGGTTTGACAATATCAATTAATGGTTTTTAATCTATCTTCATTTTGTCAAACCGATATTGATTCTTAAAGTCTAAAGTCAATCTTTTAGTCAATCTTTTAGTCTATGCTGTTTTTTTGGTAATGCGTGAAATGCGTAATTTTGTGGTAATGCGTTTTTTTTTGTTTTTTTTTTTGGATTCCATGCCAGTTATTACGTAGATGCAATAGACCTGGTGTCTATGGTACGTGAATGTGCATACTTGTCGGTTGAGCAACAATTCCTATTGAACAAATTCCCCTCATCTTAAAGCCCTTACTCTTTGCTCCTACTACTTTTTCTATGTTGTAATAGCTTATGCTCAATTTGCAGCACTTTCACTTTGTGGGCTTGTCTTTGCTGTGCATAAACTTGCATAGCCTCTCCCTTTCAGTGCTCTCGCTTTTAGTGATGGTTGGGTTAATACTGGTGTTCAGACTAAGACTAAGTGTTTGCGTTCATGGAATGCAAATGTTCAAGGTTTTTTTTTTTTAACTGGGGGTCGTCTTTGTTTTAGATACTGTAGTTGGCATCAACCCGCTATGAACCCTAAAAAAATAATCGCTCCGATAATAGTAGCGTAAAGACTTTTGTTTGACAATCTAAAGCTGAGCATGTTACATCCCCCTCCACACATTAACATACCCACTTTTGCCTCCACAAGTATGCACTCAAGTATACACTTGCCATGAAAAGGCACTTTTATCCCCACTTGTCTAGCCCTGCAGGATTTTTTGCACCTACACAAAAATGTTTGGATCACTGTGACGTGATTAGGGATGTGGCACACACCTCTTTCCTGGCCCTGGTATTTTTATAACACTTCTTGTGAGGTAAACAGCATCTCTTCTGCAGTCTGAAAGGTACAAAAAGACCAAAGTTTTCAAATGTGAATAATGAGTAAAATATTAGTATCCCTTTTTTCTTTGCTGAAAAGTTTTGTTTTCAATAAATAAAAATCATACAAATATCAAAATTCAGAGAAATTTGAATTGTGAATATACAGTTTGCTGGTTACAGTCTGCTCCAAACTATTTCATGGGCTAGATATCTTGCTTGCAAGACGTAATATCGTTCTTTTGAGATGATTCTTTTCAATGAACTAATCACACCAGTTCATAGATCTGTCTAAATGGTTAGGTTCACATTGTCAGTTATTGGGATTGACCCCCGTATTTATATACGGATGTGAGTCTCAAAATATCCCATTCAAACAGCAACTTACAGTAGCATCTCAAATACTATCTGCATAGCCGTTCACACTATAAAAAATGATATGATCAATAAGTTATGACAACATGTTTTTACATTGCTTTAACTTATTAAAAATTGCTTAACTTATTTTGATAAGTTATACAAGATTCAAATAATTTTTTAAGTCAGTTTAATGTAATTTAAGTTGAAATGACTGAAACATTACAAAAGTTGATTGTAAACTGAAAAATTACTTAAAACGTAAAAATTTAAGGCAGCAGCCTTTTCTTTTTTCTTTTTCCTTTTTCCTTTTTAAACACAGTGCAACAGGAGTCAAAACCTGTATTATTTTACCAGTAACCTTAGCGACAATGACCAAAGTAATATCGTGAGTTTTTATATCTGGAGCATTTGAGTTGCCCGTAGAACACAAAACTGATGGCAATAGCTCCGGTGGAGAGCTGTGACTGTATCGAAAATCTTCAGATGTCAAGGTACCGAAAGCAAAAAAAAAAAAAAAAACTGAAAGCAAAACCACACGAAAACCCACCACTACACATGATAGAGACACGCATGTTTGCAACGCAGAGCGGCTCTCTCGCACTTTATGACATAACAGACAACAAGTAATCCAGTCCGGTTCCATTCACACTGCGCGGGCTTTCAGAGAATGCGGTTGTAAGTCCTGAAAATTTACGGGTGTAAGTTTGGTTATAGGTCTCAAATACAGGACTGACAACCGTATTCTGCTGCTGTGCGAATGTGGCCAATGAGTCATTAGCAAATCTGAATTACTTTAAAATTATTATACAAAATTTTTATCTTCAACGTAATCACAAATGAAAATCCATTAGTCAAAAAGATTTGATATTTTCTAAACATCGACGTTTCTTTCATGTAGTAAAGCAGCTGACGCTTGAGTAATGAAGATTACACAAGAAACCCTTTCAAGCATTTAACTAGCTGCTCTTGGATTAATGGAGCAACTCTGACACCATATAGAGCTACGAGACTGAAGTTTGTTCCGCTTTCTCAGTCTTCCCTCCAAAACAGCCACATTTTGGAGCCAAAGGATACAGGTCATTAGCACGAAAAGCGGCATTGCCCAAAGCAAACATGACCCCGTCGGATCCACTGACCATGCTTGGTATGCAGGTTCACTTTCCACACTCTAGTTTTACACTGGTTGCCTCAGGTAACCGATGACTGTTTCCATTTAATGGAGCTTTGCTTCTTATTAACAGATCAGACCAGCAACCATGATTAGCTAGGTCACGCTTAAGCTGTTCAACTGGAAAAAGGTGTTGCATTTTTTTTAAATAGCGCATTGTTCATTGAGAGGTGCCTTTGATTATTTCTGCCTTTGCGCTTGCAAACATACATCGAGTTTATCTGCTAACCAGGCGGATAGCACTTCAGAAATTGAATAATGAGCATATTAAAAATGGTCAACGCCCATTTCAAAGTTTTCTGTGACATGTGACAGTGGCTTTGAGGGTTTAACTAGTCCACAGATGGAATTCTGCAAGAAAGTCAGTAAATTACAACAAAGTTCAAATATTTTTTTTTTTTTTTTTTATAATCATTTAACGTATAATAATATTTATACACATGAATCTACATGGAATGTATCATGATAGATGATACTGCCTGGTATTGTGTTCTTTTAGCTTTAGCCCAGCAAGATACTGCTTATGCTGAGCTATGCTTAATTTTTCAAAGTTTAGAGTGATGTACTAATTCACTCTTTTGTGGTGAATGAATAGTTACTGTGGGTGTAAGCATAAAGAGCGCCCATGAAAAGAAAATTACTCATTTCCAAACCCTTCTTATTATTAAGGCTGTAGGCTACTTGTTCACAATTATGACACATGATCTTGATCTGGTATGTGTTGAGACAAATATTGGGTGCAAAGTCTTGGACATAAGTGTATTCTGAATATAGTTGTAATTGTTCTATTTTTGAAAATAGGATACTGGATCTTCAAAGAACATACTTCTGTGATGCCAAGCATCTTACATACCATTACATTGCCTTTGATAAACTGCTCAGTTGGTTGAATTGAGTGTTCATTGATTGAGTGTTGAGTTTCCATCCCAAACTACAAGTTAAACTCGTGATATAAAGAAAGGACAGTACGTTTTACACAAGTGTATGTAGAATAAGCATGCTGAGGTGATGCTCCATCAAGTACAAGCGCACACACTGGACCGATCCCCTATTATCTTGACAGACACCAACAACCTTTTCAAGAAGCATGTCTGATCTTGTGAGATTCATGTCTGACAGAATCCCTGTCTTCAGGCATTGCAGTGATCAAAAGTGCTAGAGTTTTATATAAAAGAGTGAGTGAGACACTTAGTACTGTACATGCACTGTACACAAAACATAAGCCTGGGCTGTTACTACTAACCTGTTAAGAGATACACACCCTCTCCCATTATTGCTGTAGTTTTGACAACTCGAAAACACAAATATTCTTGTCTCGCTTAAATCCAAAAGTTGCCATTTAATAGTTTAATTAAGATTAAATGGCAACTTTTTAACTTGGTATGTTTGATTATACATATGATATTTAATATGAACACGCTCTTTATTATAGACATCCAGCATATGCAATTATTTTTATTGAACAACTATAACTTAGTATCTTGGGATCTGTGGCTAATTGCATTTTATATAATTTTGGGATTGATAGGATGTCCGGTTGCCTAGCAACTACAGTAGGAGTTTACACGGTTAGCCCGGTTTACACATTTTAGCAGGGAAATGAAAATCTCTCTCCTCTTGGAGAACAAATCTTCCTTAGGGAACCTGAAGTTACGGCATGAAAAAATGTTCAGTATTTAACATTATAAATAGAACTATCAAAAACATTCTTCTCATGAAGAATCTCTGGACATGGATTTTTATATGTTTGCAAAATGAATAGATTTGTTGGACTCTAGGGTGAAAGGGCACTCTACAGTTTAAAATGGTCTGTCTCAAATCTTTGTTTGTTTTACATATTTACCTAAATTTTTATTTTAGAAATGATATTTTAATTATTATTATTATTTTTTTTACAGAATGGAACAAAGAAGTCCTGGGACTTTATGCAAACCCATGATAGGTGAGGATGTGTCTTTCTTTCTCTCTTTTTTGATCCATTTTTGTTGTTGTTTTTTACAATAATAACACTGAAGTAAGCCCTCTCTGAATTATTTGATTTTGGTTTATTTGGTTTCTGTTTTCTACTGTATTTCTTTCTCTTTGGAGTTCTGACTGCCCTCTAAATTGATACATTTTGCTTTTAGTGCTTTAGCGAGAAATGGAGATAACCTATTTAACGATATTCTTCGAGAGATGTCCCTTGCGTTGAGATGCGTGGAGTGTAAATCATTGAACATAATACTTCAAGGCGACTATAAACCTGGGAGGATTAGAGGCTTTTGGAGCTGGAATGTCTCACCACGGTGCAACAATAGGAAGTTCTCCCCTGCCCCAAAAGTCTTTGTGTGCACATCTTGATCTCTCTTCAATTCGGTCTTTTACACGTTCACGTCTCCATTGAGCTTTGTCATGATAAATCTGTCCCTTTCTTTCTTACTTTTATACACGGTCCTCTTTTTAGTAGTTTCAGGTAGACCTTGCAGCCCTCCACCTGTCTTCAGTGCAGTTACTGATCCTTGACCAGGCTTGAAGTGTCCAAGAGAGAGGCAGAAGCAGTTAAACTTCCATTCTGTTTTCCACACAACCCCTTCTCAGCGACCCAAAGCAGTGTTTGGGTCATTACACACCTAAGAGCAGCCTCTTTGTACCTCTCCAGTTGTCAACTGCTGCCCTGAGATCATGGAGACCTTTCTTACAGGGTTCATTAAAGCTATCGGTGAGGATTGAGAACCTCTGTGGGCCGTGTGTCAATATTGCACAACACTTTTATTTTTCCATGGAGCTGTCTGGATATTGAATCATTCTCAGCAAGTAGACCTGGTGGAACAAAGTGGTTACAAACTCTCTGGCCAATAATATAGCAAGAGTTACAGCATGTTCCCATATTAGGTTTCGTCAGAAGGCATTTGTTCTTCAATGAGGAGTGTCTGGACCATGTCTGTGAGAAAAAGGGTCCACAAAACCAAAGAAGTTAAAACACCTCATCCTAAACATTCATTCAGGCGTGTAGTTTGTCTAATCTCAATAAATTCAAAATTCTGCAAGGTGAGAAAATTACAGCCAATCAGAACATATGTGGATCTGGATTTTCACTGTGGGTGGGGCAACCCAGCACAATTCAAGCGACAATGGGAAGAATAAAAACTCAAATTGTCAGTTTGTGTCAAACCTGTTCTGGACAAGATTGAGAGCTGAAGAAGAGAAGACTCATTCACCACAGAAAATGATGAGGTTCTATTGTAAATTCCTTGATTATGAGAAGGTGCTTCATATTGTAAAAGCCGAATAATTATTCGAATGTTATGTGGTCTTATTTTGTACTCCATGTTACTAACATACTCTACCATTCAACAGTTTGGGATCAGTAAGAACTTTTGAAGATATTAACACTTTTATTCAGCAAGGATGCATTGAGTTGATCAAAAGTGACAGTAAAGACATTTATAATGTTTCTGTTTTAAATTAATGCAGTTCCTTTGAACTTGCTGAAAAAAAATGCATTCAAGTTTTTAAAAAAATAATAAGCAGCACAACTGTTTTCAACACTGATGATAGTAAATATTTCTTGAGCACCAAATCCGCATATTACAATGATTTCTCAAGAATCATGTGACACTGAAGACTGGAGTAATGATGCTGAAAATTCAGCCTTGCCCTCACAGGAATAAACTACTTTATTTGAAATAAAAATGTTATTTTAAATTGTAATACAATATTACGATATTTCTGTATTTTTGATTAAATAAATGCAGCCTTGGTAAGGATAAGAGACTTCTTTCAAAAACAAAAACAAATCGTACCCACCCCAAACTTTTGAACAGTTGTGTATGTGCACTTGTTAAAATATTTGACATCACCATTTGACTGTGACGTTGTTTTGATTGATGAATGATGTGATCTGCAGTTGAAAGGTAAAGCCATTAAGAGGAGCATCTGTTCAGGTCATTAGTGCCACTGCTACAGTCTCTTGTGATCTCTGCTGGTCTTTGAGAGTTGGTAGCCGTGGTCCTTTGTGAGGATTTTCAGGGGCGTTGATGAGTGTGTATATTGATCTTTCATCTACAGTTTCTGATTTGCATCAGTGTGTGATGTGAGTGATTAGTATAATGCTGCACCAGGCCTCTCCTTCTCTTCCTGCTGCTCCTGTTGCATTGCATCCCGTAGCGAGAACCAAACGGCCCTAATGGACAGCAGGCTTAATGGCGTGTGACACGTCCTGCGTGACTTCGACAGTGCTTTCATGGTGGAGAGGTGAAGCAGCGAGGAGCACGTCATTCAGACATGCCTCGGCTCGCTGGGGCACTGACCCGTCAGCCGCAGTTTTCAAGGGTTGACCCAGACTGCACTCTTCATTCCGTAGAGTCTGTACTCCACAGCTCATCATCAGTGAAGAAAAAAGGAGGAGCCTAACTGACATCAGGTGTGTGCCTCAAAAGCTACTTCCTCCTGATGGAATAGATGAGAGTATAAAAGCAGGATGTGCTCTTAAAGGGTCAGTTCACCCAAAAATTAAAATTCTGTCATTAATTACTCACCCTCATGTCGTTCCAAACCAGTAATACCTTCGTTCATCTTCGGAACACAAATGAAGATATTTTTGATGAATTCTGAGGCCTTGTCCACACGGACACGGGTATTTTTATAACCGGAGTTTTTCCTACAGCGTTTTTAAAAAAAATCCCGTCCACACATGCTCGGTCTCCGTCTACATGAAAACGTAAAAACACGCAATCAAGCGCGGTCAAGAGCATGCCACGCCAGCAGGCGGCGATATAAACCCATAGACAGTATAAGAAGTGGAAAGAGCCATCTCATTGGAACTCAGTTGAGACAGTTGAAGCCCATTTTTAGCGATTTTTGAGCACTTCCGTTCCTGACGCGCAGACTCAAACCGACTCAAACTAAGCTTGATGACGTGAGCAACCTGTCTGACAGACGTGAATCTTCTAGTAGCTGTGCGTGAAAATTGCCAACGTTAATCTTGCAGAGACGGGGAACTTGAGCAAAGCGTTCTTTGGCGTGAGTGAGCAGGAGTAAGTATTCCGTTGCTTTTATGGACTCATTATCTATGGGCTTCTCCCTTGACGGGACGTCCCCCCGATTGCCTGCGAGCTTCTCCTCCTGTCTGTACGGTAATTTCTGTACAGCGCGACAGAGAGTCGAGTGGTTATGACGCAATCGTTAGCCTATTTTTACAAAAACGGTTTCTATGGGGCCATAATGTAACATAGAAGGTAATGGAGCCCTTTATACATTGTCGTGTTTCTTTAGAAATAAATAATGGACAAATGGAGTCTTTAAACGCCTCAGATGTGAAGTTATTCGCTGTCAAAGTGACGCCAAAATGAATGGGAGTCAAAGGAAATGCTAACGCAAGTGAAGTTCTGCTACAACATGGCTGCACCCGGCCGGCTTCAACTTCCGGTCGATGGATTGCCCCCTTGTATAAACCTTAACCGTAAAGCCACGTTGGCCAATCAGAAGCGCAAATCTGACGTCAAACACAGCGGATAACGGCGCACACTCTGACGTCGCAAGGCAAAACCCCCGGTTTCACTGTCTACACGACAACACTGTAACCGGCATTTCTGAAAATCCTCACCCTGGCAGGGGTTTTCAAAAATGTTCGGTTTCAGTGCGTTTTCGTGTGGACGAACGGCCGAACCGCGTAAAAAAAGTCACGGTTATAAAAATACCCGTGTCCGTGTGGACAGGGCCTGAGAGCTTTCTGTCCCTTCCATGTCATTCTCCTAGGCTGTTGATGTAGTTAAACAGTGCAGCGCTTCTGGGTTCTACGTCAGAATGTCGGCTCACTATTTGCCGATGCTGGTCATGTATGTGATGGCATATATTGCCAGAAGCGCTGCACTGTTTACACTATACTATTTAGTTGGGGTTTTTTTGCCCACAAAATGTATTCTTGTCCCTTCATAATATCAAGGTTGAACCACTGTAGTCACATGGACTATTTTGACGATGTTTTTGCTACCTTTCTGGGCCTTGAAAGCAAGGGACAGAAAGCTCTCAGATTTCATCAAAAATATCTTCATTTCTGTTCCGAAGAGGAACGAAGGTCTTACGGGTATGGAACGATATGAGGGTGAGTAATTAATGACAGAATTTTCATTTTCAGGTGAACTAACCCTTTAAACTGAACCAGGACCCCTCTTAATCAGACCTCAAACCATCAAATGGTGTCTCCAGATGATAGCACTTCCTACCAAAAGTTTGTGTATAATATTAATTCAGGAACCTCTGCCGTTTCTCTCCCGAACAAATAAATGTGCTTTTTTTTTTTATATACATGCAAATAAAAAATCTGGCCAATATCATAATCAGAATATTATTTTCATGTGATGGCCAATAATTGATAAATGGCCAAAATTAAAATTATATACTCATTTGTCTAAATAAAAATAAAGCAGTAAAAACTCAAATCAGTCATTTTAAATGCCACAGGTGAATATAGGCTTTACAACCTTATAATGAACATTATGAAAAATTTATATTTATCTTAAGAAATATTACAGTGTTTTGTTTTTTAACCAAAACGTCAAAAAAGAAAATAAATGTTTCATTCAGAAAAAAAAAAAAAACTGAAAAGAAATTTTGATCATTTAATTTGGGTAATTGAACAGTCTGATGTTTAGGGTGTCGTTAACAGTTCTTCGGCAAAGAGCCACCTCTCAATATTTCAATCAAACACATTTTTCATATTGCTTCTCTAGCATCATTTTTGGTGTCAGTGAAGTGCGTCGACACGGCTGACATGCTCTAAATAGTAACAGATTTTTTTTTTTTTTTTTTTTTTTTTTGCTATTTTGCCAGAATATTTCTAGTTGCCAAAATGTTGGTGCATCACTGAAATTATTAATGTTTTTACATACTGTAAGCAGCAAAGTTAATTAATCTAAAAATATGAGAAATGAGCATGAACAATTAAATATCCAGAATCGATCATAAAAAATAAAAAAATCTATAATTTGATAACCAAAATGGTACTGCTATTGTACTCCTTTTAATTTTGTGTGTGGCCATGTTAAAAAATTGTAGAGAACAAATACTGGTAGGTAAGGTTCAGGAGTGTGTGTGTGTGCATTCAGGCTGTGTGGGTAATATCTGGCAAGCATTCACCATGGGAAGGGCAGGGCTTCCTGCCTCTACGGACATATCCGCTTTCTCTACTCAAAGAGCCGTCTCGCTCTCCTTTGCCATCGAAACAATCACGTTAATACAACATATTATTATAGCAGATAAGGAACTGATCTGTGAAAATTGGCAAATCTTGCTCTCTAATAGTGTGGTCACATTTATCGTTTTTGACGAATTTCCCAGTCATTTCATTAGGAATCCAAGTGTTTATGAATTACGCATAAATGTGAAAAAGTTGGCCACACATTTGCAACATTGACCCACAAAAAAACTTAAATTGATACAGTCTATAGCAATGGTTTGTCTAGTCCAGCTCAGGGTGTGCCAGCATGGTATTTGTGAAGTTGGGCTAACGGATCTAGATAATATGATGCATGTATACACGTTAATGGTCTCAATGTTGTGTGCATGGCCCAAAAGACACATAAGTTGTGTTTAATAATTAAATATTTGATTATGCATAAGGCAGATGAAGACTGTGGCTCAACTACGTTAATAACGCTGTAGCTCGATTATAACAGCACATGTAAACACATACTTGGGTGTGTTTGGGAGCAACAGTGTGTACAAATTGTTTGATGTATTTGGTAGTCTTTTTCTCTTGGATCTCCGAAGTCAGTTTTTTTTTTTTTTTTTTCAGGTATGTGTTTTCCTGGTTGGAGAGTTGGGGAAGGATGCTGCTTGTATAAGTGTGAAAGTGCTGTACAGAGACACTCTGTCCTCTGACCTCCTGCCACGCTGAGCTATTAGCCAGTCTACTGAGGCCTGGCTATCCCAGTATGCTTCAGTGGATAAATCCTATTATACAGAGATCCTTAAGACGCAGGGATTTATTCTCTTCTTCTTAGAGCATTATGTTCAGTCTCAAACCGAGATAAAGTGAAAAGCCAAGACCACATCCAAGGTGTTAATCCTGGGTGATTTGTTGGGGCTTGATGGAGCAAGGGTGTCAATGTGCCTCTCTCTTTAACACACATGCTCATGTTCCCTAACTCTACCACTACTCTAAGCCTACCCAAGTTTTTGGATCAGTGGTGTTTGTTGTTGATCTTGCAGGACTGGATGCATTGATTAACGAGAAGGGAAGATATCCATTGTTGAGTACTGCTTCATGTGGAACCGCTTCTCCAAGTGACAACTTGGCTTCTAAATTCATTCCTCTTCCTTTTCTTTCCTCTCTCCAGTGTCTCTGTGCTGATTTTCAACACCACCTCACACTGTTTTATCCTGGTCAAGCAGTTCCGCCCAGGTAACGCCCTGCAGTTTTCCATGCTTGAATCTTTGATTTTGACTGATTTTAGATCTTGTTTTCTTCACACCAATTTAACGAATGTTCGATTTGTCTACATCCATGAGATCTTTGGAAGGCTGTAAGGTATTTTTCAATTACTGTAGATATCAGAGTTGTGCAAAATTCTGAAATGACTCCCTTTCAGAATCCTTAAAGGGATTCGGATCCTGATCCTGATCCTGGAACATTATTCCAATTAACCAAACAGATTTGAGGGACAAGTTTAAGGTTTAGGTGAAGTTTAGGCTTACAAGAAGGGTTAGGTGCTTCTATATCAGTGTTATTCACCTATCACAGGGGTAGGCAAGTTCGGTCCTAGAGAGCCGCTGTCCTGCAGAGTTTGGCTCCAACACTGAAAAAAACCTCTCCTGCCTATAGCCTTAGTAATCCTGAAGACATTGATTAGCTTGTTCAGGTGTGTTTGATTAAGGTTGGAACTAAATTCTGCAGGACAACGGCTCTCTAGGACCGAACTTGCCTACCCCTGACCTATCATTTCCCTCTGATTTTATGAGTAAGGTTAGGTTTACCTTAATCACAATTTCTTAATTAAAGTACACATTGCAGTTAGTCTTTGAATTGCAGTTCATTTTAATTCTGCCTCATTGAATTCGAATTGCAATGCTGCATCCCTTTTGTTCATTTCAAATTCAGGAATCGATTTGTAATTTAAAAACCATTCTCAATTCATTTCTTAATGTTGCTCAACCCTGTTAGATATATTCTTGGAGCCCCCCAAAAACAGAGAATGTGAGTAAAGCATCTATGTGAGGCTTGTCACACCTAAACTAATGTTTTTTTTTTTTTTTCATCTATCTGAGCTCTCCTACTAACCTAAGGTCCCCCTCATCCTACACAACCTTGGTGCCTGAGTGGGCCAGATAAATTCAAAACTTCCCTAAATCCATTTTTTTAATGATAAACTTAGATTTTGTAGCATGATTTCACAGCAGAACAACACCTCGACATACTGCATGCAAATGCTCTCACACATAGGCCTACTTAATTTAGACTGTATCTCATTACGGTGTTGTACTACACCCAGATCCCTCTGTTATCTCTACCTGAAAGAGACGAAGAAATGTTTTGTTCTGCTGCAGATTTTTAAAGTTAACCTTTTAAAAAAACATCTGATATGCAACAGATATCAGGTACCATTTTATAACTGCTGTTAGAGAGAAATGTTTGCTTGAAAATAACATGGATGATAGACTAGGAAAAAATAAGATTTATTTCTTCTAAGACAGATTAGAACCTTCCCACATCCATCAGGTAATTCTTCTGAAATGTGTAGTAGCACACAAAGGAATAAGCCACATATTAACCTATTGCAGTGTTCTCATAATGGGACATTTTTCATGTCGATGGTGGTCGTGCAAACAGAGCATTTTTCAGTGCTCTCTCTGAAGCTTTGGCCCTGCGCTACACTGTTACACTATTGTTCTATACATGCTCGCCAGGGACGGCGCCCTGCTTCTCAGAATGGAAGGAAAGCCTTGCATTGAAAGAGAGACGTCTTTCTACAGTTTTTTTTTTCTTTTCTGTAGTCTTCAAACAATGCTTCAAATGAAAAGGCAGGCCTTGTGCAGGGAAACATAAGAACAAGTCTTCTCAAGGATGGCTGTTCTTGAATTGAGCTCTCAGTCAGTCCCATATGTACAGTACATTCGTCTGAAGGGCGTAGTAGTTAAAGATCTGGGTAAAGATATCTGTAAGGTTGTAGGTTCAAACCCATGTGTGGTGAGCCATGAGTTGGGCACAGTTCTTAAGTAAAACTAAAACCATATAAAAAGTTCATTACTTGAAATAAGACAAACATTAACTGAAATAAAATAAAATATAAAAAAAACGTAAGCTTTCACCTAGTTGCAAATACAACTTAAACTTAATAAAAACTATATAGACATATTTAAAAAAAAAACTGATACAATTTACAAGAAGCACAACAAAATTGCAATTTTTTTTACAAAAATTAAGTTAAAGACAGAAATATATAAAAAAGATCTAATTTAAAGTATGATAGTAGTTTATCATTGATACTAAAATAAACTGTTTGGGCAAACATCTTTATTATTACTAGGTCAATAAGTCTGTTAAAATATCATATAATTTCCATTTTTTGACAAATTAGGTTGTTGTCTGAGGACACGTTTACATGACAATGATGTACTAAAAGCGGAAACGGTTTCCTTTGTTTTTTTGCGTACAGACGACAACGTTGTCAAAACGATCCCCGTTCACATGGATCCACAAAAATGATTAAAAACGCTGTATTTATGCCAGGCCAGTAGTTGGTGATGTCACTTTGTAAAGAAACATTACACGCCTATAGACTTAAAGGTGCCCTAGAATGTTTTTTTTTATTATTTTATAATGTTTCCTGGGTTACCCTTATAATGTTAGTATGTTTTTTAGATAAAAAATAATCATAATTTAGAAATAAAAGGCATTATTCCTAGCCTGCTTTTAGCCTCTGATTTGAACACTCTGTTTGAAGGGGCGTGTCTGCTGTGGGATTCAGTGTAACCGCGGCCACTGCTGTGATTGGCTGACATGCTTGCATATGAAATAGCAACGCATTACATGTGAAACTCTCTCGAATACTTTTACTACTGCTATTATACGTTTTTACTATAACAGCTATCGAGATTAACGAATCGTGAGATGTTTTTAAAGTATTTAGATCTATTCCCATCACATAAAATGTTGCCGTGATGAGCATTGAGCAGATGACAGTGTGTTGATCGCGAGAATGAAGATCTAATCATTGCAAAGCAGTTTCTGCACTCTCTCTGCTTTCACCAATGCAAACACGATGATGTAAATACAGTAAGAGCTTCGTTGTGCAGTAACGTGCGTCATTGATTTCATAACGAGTTTGGCAAGTGTCCAGATAAACTCGCGCTGTGTGGAAAGATTGTTCTTTGATCGCTTTCTGTATATAACTTGTTCACAATTTAAATACGATTATTTTCATCCTACTAAAAGAAACGATGTGAAGCTGATATTTTAGTCACTGGCTTGACTTACTGATGCATAAACAGTATTGAACGATTTTGAGAGAAAGATTACCTGTCTGAACTTGAACAATTACACATCAGAAAGTGTTGCTTGGTAGCTCGATCCGAGGCCAGCTCTGTATTGGCCCAAGTTGAGGAAACAGTCGGTGAAATGTTTGGAAATTTCCAGAGAAAATAAAATTAACCCATTGTTTCTTCAGAGGCTCAGATGAAGGAACTAAAAAATACTTTTGTGTTCATGTGTACATCCAAACACTGAGCAACTGCCATCCTTCGGCTGCGCTGTTCCGCCTGGCATTGAGGGCTGGCATTATGCAAATATTTGAAGGCGTACATATTAATGATCCCGACTATTGCGTCACAGTCGGTATTGTGTGGAGAACCGACCGTTTTTCAGGGGTGTTTTTCATAAACGTGAATTAAACGAGAACGCAAAAACAGTCCAGTGTCATGTCCATGCACTGAACTCTTGTTATTTGACTATACCAAGGTAAATTCAATTTTGAATTATAGGTCACCTTTAACGTATAATATGCATGCGCATGACGTCACCATTTTCACAAGTTCATGTTTTAAACCAGTTTTCAAAATTTAGCATTTTCAGGCCCCCAAAACGCCATCGTCGTGTAAATGAACGGCCAAAACTCATAAAAAGTTTGTTTTTTGACTCACCAAAAAACACTGTTTTAAATAAATAATTCTGGATATTTGTATAAAAACAACAAAAAGTATATTTTACAACATTTTTGAAAATAATGATTCCATGCATTTATGATTTTAGTATATTATGTTATTATTATAAGGTGACAGTTACACAAAAAAAAAAACATTCTTAGTCATCAAATTTAAACTTGTCTTAAAGTTTTCAAAACCGTATGAATGTGAAGACTTTTTTTGTCTTAAGATTCTTGTTCTCACACACGTGCCTACATGATCTAAAACACTATATTTGAGACCTCATCAATCAAAGTGTTTGTGCACTCAGATATTTCCTCATCTACAGTATCTTTGTGTTTAAAAGCACTCTTGAACGATGAGTGACACGTCTTACTTCTTCCCAGCTGTATACATGAGCGAATGGGAGCGGAGCAAACCTAAGCCCCTGCAGCCTACGGAGGAAGAGTCAGCAGAACCCGCACCAACAGAAGCTAAAGTCCCGGAAGAGAACCAAGCAGGGGACTCAAGCGAAGAGACATCAAGCCATCAACCTCCAGCTTCGGCTGGTGTGACCTACGAGCTTTGCGCAGGCTTGGTGGACAAACCCAACCTTTCTCTAGAGGAGATTGCCAGGCAGGAAGTGCTGGAAGAGTGCGGATATGATGTGCCGGTCACTAAACTGAGAAAGATCACGTCATACAGGTGAGAACCAATCTAAAATAAGTAACATTTCTGATAGTCTGGCTAATTCATTGGCGTAATTCACACGTGAAGTTAGAGAGCAATCACTCCAAAGCATTTACTTGTAGGCCCATGTGATGCAGATCAAGCAGCTACATTGTGATGAGAAATGTCATCACATTAAATTTCAATAGGTTTATGGTTAAAGGTTATTTCTTGTCAATGGTGTCAGATGTAAAGTATTTTGGTGATGTCAATGAGTTTAAAATACTTACTGAGATGATTGATTGATTGTATTGTCTATTTTTGTTTTTCTGTTGGCTTGTTGAAGCACCTTAATTTCCCCTCTGGGATTAATAAAGGAAGTCTAATTCTAAAGTATTTTGGTGATGTCAAAGCTGCTGCTTGTGCATGGATAATAATGGATGTGGGAAAGTAAATCTGGAAATTTAGCAGCTTTCAGGTGTGAAAGTGGCTAAAAATAACACAAGCAGTCGTAAGTGATACACTGATAATGAAACAAGTCGTGAGGTTTACTCAGGCTTTTTTACTTTCTTTATTAGATGACTCTCTGGAATACTTCTGATTGGTCAATCACAGCATTCTGCAGTCAGCCTGATGACCCTATCGAGGTTTATTTGTCATATATATATATATATGACCCTATCGAGATTATTTTGTCATATATATATAATCGTCCCGAACCGTCACAGTACGGACATCACAGTGTGCATACAATCTGACGACGAATACAGTCAGTCACAGGCGATCCACACTACAATCCAGAACGGTGCACGCGTGGTAATGCAACGCTGTTTGCTAACTGCCACAACAGGAAAAAGAACAGAAGAAGAAGAGGCGATCTATGCACCAACCCGAAACAAGAGTTCAGATGGCACACAAGAGCTTCCTAGTAGCCTCTACGCAGAATATCAATACATTTTTCGTATGCGCTCTACTAACATAACAGAAAGGAAACTGGGACATCAAAAAGCGGCATCTTGTTTCTTTTCTTTATTTTACAAAATCACAATGTTTTATTTTTATTGTGAGTGTACACAAATAAAAACAGACCCTTTACAGTTACTCTTATCTGTATGACCATAGATGATGGAGTATTTTAAGTTGTGTCCACTGCTATAATGAGGGGGTTGGTGGGCAGACGACATAATCCAGATGTACCAATCACCGGATCTAGGCAGAAAAAGACTACAGGAGTGCAAAAACTAATCTCTGCACAAGTTATATTTTTATACTTTTATAACACAAAAGATGCTTATGCAAGAGTGCATTCTGTTTACTGTTTAGTGCTTAATACACTAAAGGAGTCTTTTCTGTATCAACTACCTCAGGGGGGACTAAATGCCACAAGTTGGAGCAAACTGTAATTTGCACTACTATCTGTTCAAAATAAATAAAAAGAAACCTAGCATTGGGGATTTGTTGCTTTTTCCTGTTGTACCGAACTCAAATCGAACCGTGACCCCAAAACTGAGGTACGTATTGAACCGTGAGTTCTGTGTACGATACACCCCTTATGTATATACTACTTTAATACTATTACTATCAGTAAGATTTTTTTGAAAGACATTTATAATTTTACAGAAGATTTTGGTTTCAAATGAATGCAGTTGTTTTGAACGTCCTATTCTCAACATATTAGAATGATAGGATCATGAGACACTAAAGACTAAAGTAATGGCTGCTGAATATTCAGCTTTGCCATCACAGGAATAAATAACATTTTATAATGTATTAAAAAAAGAAAAGAAAATATACCTGTTACTAAGATCGGTCGATTGGATCACAAATAGACGAAGCAGACACGTACCCGTTTACACCTGGTGTATTAACCCGTCTCTTTTGTCCACTAGTTTCAACCACTTCTGTCCTGATATCTTTATTTTATTTTTATTTCTTTTTTTCAAATCTTTCAATCTTTTTTTCGATCTAATGGACAAAATAAGCTCACACAACTTTACATATGAACATGCCTGGAGACGACGGGGGAAAAAAACACGGAGAACAGCAGCTTTCGTTTAATAGTTTTTGCTCTGACAGCCGCAAGACCACGCCGAACGCTGTGAGTGTGTGTTAGAAATCAGGAATGGTGAGAGAACATTGAGCTTGGTATGTTTTTGGCTTCAAACCAAACTTGGGTCTTCTGCAAACAAAGTTTAAATCATGTCTGGCTAGCGCGCTTCCCATAATGTTTAGGCATTAGGTCAGTAGGCGTAGAGTAGGCTCTTTTGTTGCTGTTCGAACGCATTCAACCACATGAGTGTTTACACTACGAAAGCAATCCGGTCGAAATGCGTTTTCGACCACCTCTGGAAGTAGTCGAAAGTGGAAAAACTCAAAACGCTTACACCCCGTTTACACCTTTATTTAGTGTTGTCCACTTGTGACCCAATCAACCAAAACGCATCGTAATGCCAGGTGTAAACAGGGCCTGTGAGCATAAGAGACTTCTTTCAGAAACATATAAAAAAAAAAAACTTACTGACCCCAAACTTTTGAATGGTTGTTTATAGAGAGTGTGTGAGAGAGGAATGTATACATGTCTGCTAATATGCACTTTGCCATGACTGACATACATTTTTATCTTGTTTCCCAATTTAATATTTAACCTTCATCTTGATCATTGGCTGGTAAACCCCCAGAGGAAAGAACCTCAGATAAAGTATTCAGGGGTTAATTGTGTCACAATCTCATCTGTAAAGAAAGATGAAACAGTGCTGCATTATGCTCTTATCAGTCTTCATTGAGGAGACTGTCGTAAACCCCTGCCGCCTCGCACCTGCCAGAGTCACACCACCTGTGTGTGTGTGTGTGTGTGTGTGTGTGTGTGTGTGTGTGTGTGAGCCTGCAACATCTGCATGTTGCTGTTTGTGACCTGTGCCACAGCCATCTCTGATTTGCTAAAATACCACATGGAGTCACAAAGCATCCTCCTCTCAAATGAACACACAGACACAGTTTAGACGCACCTGCTGACTGCACTGCACCATCATAAACACCTGCTGCACCTGCTGCTTTTATGGACATATTTGGGGACATGAAGGAATGCAGAAAGTGGATGACCTACTTCTGATTGTGTTACTCAGTGAAAATTGTTACACAATGAATTATTACACTTTTTTTTTCCTTTTCCACATAATTAGAAACCAGAGGGAACAAGAAATGTTGTGGGAAAGTGGATGAGGAAATGACGCATTGTCCATATATGCATTTACATTAACCTCTAGATCAAGGCACTAACCAGAGATTGTGTTCAATCAGTTTAAGATTTTTTTTCCTTCACTGACATTTATCATTAAAATACAATTCTTAACCTCATTGCCACTTTCTATCCTGATATATACACCCTGACTGGATAAAATGTAGCTTCTCTTAGTACCTATCTAGGTACAAACTGACAGGCCTCTTAGGGTGTTTTCACACCTGAGAGTCCCCATCAAGGTCCGAACCAAAGTTCATGTTTTACTTTTGATACATTTTATACATTCGGTAAGTTTTGGTTTGGTTTCACATTGCAATTATGCGAGTGCACTAAAGAACTTTACATGACATTTGCGTCCTGTCGTCATCATCTATGTGGGCTGCATCTTGACATTGATTGGTTTGTAAACGGACGTGCGTCTGACGTCAGCCAGCGTGTTGTCAGTCAATTCGGCGGGTAACTTTGACAACAATGAATGAACAGACGTATATCGTTGCCACTATACTGTAAAGCACCAACTATACTCGAGGCTAGTTCAAATTCGCCAAATGAACGTCCTCGTTGTGCGAACATTTTATCGTCGCCAGCAGGAAAGGAGGAGAACACTGCAAACAATCCTGCGAGAGCAGCGAACTACTTATGTCGTATGTCGACCATATTTCAATTAAAACCCTTGTCTTCTCCTCTCCCCATGGCTACCACGGCTCATTCGGCTATCTCTGCTTTCTTCTTCGGCTATGCGAGAACCACCGGAACTTCCTGTAAAAGGTCTGAAAGTCCGAACCATACAGAAAATGCTTTCAAATTAGTAGAAACGAACCAAACCTTTGTTTAGTTTGATCCGGACCGAGACTACCTCTTTTCATCGGAACCAATTTCGTCTGTTTGGTCCGGACCGTGGTCCGGGGGAGGTTTCACACCTGTAATTTTGATTCGGACCAAACTGAAAAGTCTGAAAGTCCGGACCAAACAAGGTAGGTGTGAAAAGGGCCCTTAGATCATCAAACCAGTGGCTGACTTGAGACTAAATCATGTCCCAAACCAAATTGAATGGTAGTCTTAGCTCGTTGTTCTAATATCACTGCACATAGGTCAATATTTATCCTTATTTGCATATATTTAAATATACGCTACCATTTGGGGTCTATACGATTTTTTAAGTCTCTTATGCTCACCAAGGCTGCATTTATTTGAAAACTAAAAACTAATGTTGTGAAATGTCATTCCAATTTAAAACAACCATTTTCTTTTGTTAATGTTTTTTTTTTTAATGGCATTTTGGCACAGAATAATGGCACAAAGCTGAATTTTCAGCCTTATTACTCCAGTCTTCAGTGCCACATGATCCTTCAGAAATCATTCTAATATGCTGATTTCACACATGTAAATGTTAAAAACAGTTGTGCTGCACAATGTTTTTGTGGAAATTGATACATTTTTTCAGGATTCTTTGATGAATAGAAACTTTAAAACAACAATGTTTATTTGAATGAATGGCAGTCTAAATGTGACTTGACTTAAAGGGTCAGTTCACCCAAAAATGAAGATTCTGTCAGTAATTACTCACCCTCATGTTGTTGCAACCCCGTAAGACTTTTGTTTATCTTCGGAACACAAATTAAGATATTTTTGATTAAATCTGAGAGCTGGACCACTCCTCCATCTAAAGGGGATCTAAACTGGCCGGCCCAAAAGTTATGAAAGACGTCGTTAAAATAGTCCGAGTGACTACAGTGGCTCAATCTTAAGTTTATCAAACGACGAGAATACTTATTGTGCGCAAAAAAGCAAACAAAAATAGCGACTTTATTCAACTATTCATTTCCTTCTCTGTGGGCCTCGACATTTCACATAGTGGAACTGCGCAACGCTTCTAGGTTGCACGTCACACGTAGGCTCACTATTGGCCGACGCTGGTCATGTGTGTGATGCGTGTGACGTACAACCTAGAAGCTTTGCGTAGTTTCACTACGTGAAATGTCGAGGCTCACAGAGAAGGAAATGAATAGTTGAATAAAGTCGTTATTTTTGTTGTTTTTTGTGCACAAAAAGTATTCTCGTCGTTCGATAAACTTAAGATTGAGCCACTGTAGTCACTCGGACTATTTTAACGATGTCTTTCATAACTTTTGGGCCGTTCAGTTTAGATCCCTTAAGAAGTGTATGGAGGAGAGATCCAGCTCTCAGATTTAATCAAAAATATCTTAATTTGTGTTCCGAAGATGAATGAAAGTCTTACGGGGTTGGAACAACATGAGGGTGAGTAATTAATGACAGAATTTTTGGGTGAACTAACCCTTTAACATCTGTGTGCAAGACATTCCTTACCATGTAAACATTCAAGTTGTGCTCATAGTCAGAGAGTAACTTCATAGACATTTAAAGGTAAAGTATGTATTTTTAGAAAATATTCCAACTTGCGCAGACAACTAAGCAAGCAATTTGTAGGTTAATTCTTCCAATAATTGTAAACACTGGCTCTATCAAAACATTGTTTATGTAATTATTTTTGCAGTTCTGTTTACTTAGTATCACAGAAATTAAGCCAAGTTATTTTGGGCAGTACTGAAGGAACAGGAGTAATTTGCATTGCATTTACAATTTGCAAAATGTAGATTCTTGACCATCATCATAATAAAGTTAAAATTACATTTGTATAGCTTAACTACCTCCTAAACTTTCTCCTAAAGAGAGGAAGGAGCTGTATTCTATCTTTTATGTTGAAACCATTGTGAAACTGGAATTGTCCAAAGATTTATTAGAAAACGATATCTTCTGGGCCCATAAGTGCGCCATGCAGGGTGGCTTCAGAATAGTTAATTTGTCACATCTTGTCTCCATTCTCTAAGGAGTGGATGTCAGCATTTTTCATTGGTAACAGACACAGTGTCCTGGAGATTCTCGTGAAATTCGTCCTCTCAGATGTAGAGTTAAGTTTTGCAACGCACTCATTGTGGTTAGTTTAAACTCATCCTAAGTGATTGCCTGGGCTTGTTCCATTTTTACCTCCTCTGGCCATCATCCATCAGTTTGATGGTATGCAGGCATCACGGCCTTGTAATTTTCTTCCATATTTCATAAGCTGGAAGCTTCACATCTCTGTAATGCTCTCATGGTGTTAGGGAGATCTCCATGGTGACGTCTCCATGACAGAGTCTCAGGTGAGGTTACTCCTCAGCCACAGTGGAGCTTACCGGATAGCTGTTTACTAAGGTATGAGAGGTCTTGCTTCATGCCTTCAGGTCCTCGCAGTAGACCCCTTTGCCCATGCCTAGTCCTCATTGTACAAAAGCAATTTCACAAGAGCTGCTTGAATGGTGGATGTCTCCTCATCTATACATCCCTAATGGGTTTCAGAATCGTCATTGAATAGATGGGAATTATTTTCATGTAGCATAATTTATTTTTGCTCATTAAGTGACTTAAATGGCAGCCAGTTCACTTGCCTGCCATCTTGGTAACACCCCTGGTCAAATAGTTTTCAAGTTGGTAATAAGCATTCAGGTATCTGAATGTGGAAAAACCATTTATTAAGCTGTTTGCCAAGATTACATTTCAATATCATCTCAAATCAGGAGTTAAATGTGACTACACTGGTACAGAATGTAACCTCTATTTTAGCAAAATGTTTACTTCTTTAGCTTAAATTATGCAAAAAAAACAAAAAAAATGACTAAGCTGTTTGTCCACATTTAAAATAAGGAATAAAATCTAACAATAAGTGTTACGTATGGAATGGCTTCTGTGGTAGGTCCTACCTAGACTGGGATGGAACTACTTCAGACGCAGAAAGCAAATCTGCCCACGGAAAGACAGGGAAATCGTGGAAGAATAAAGAGTACACATATGGGATTACCAAGGAGGAATCACAACACATGGGGCATTAGCATTTAGCATTCGCATTTATTTAATCAACGTGTGGCTTCTTTAGCTTAAAGGGATAGTTCACCCAAAAATGAAAATCCTGTCATCATTTACTCACCCTCAAGTTGTTCCAACCCTGTATGAGTTTCTTTCTTCTGCTGAACACAAAAGAAGATATTTTGAAGAATGCAGGAAACCAAACAGTTGACTTCCATAGTATTTTTTTCCCCATACTATGGAAGGCAATGGGGTCCATCAACTGTTTGGTAAACCATATTCTTTAAAAAATATCTTCTTTTGTGTTCAGCAGAAGAAAGAAATTCATACAGGCTTGGAACAACTTGAGGGTGTGTAAAAGATGACAGGATTTACATTTTTGGGTGAAGTATCCCTTTAAATCAGGCATTCATAGTTTATAGCTGCAGTGCCTTGTGAAGGAAAACTGAAGTGTTCTCGGATTGCTCTTTTTGAGTCCCTTGTGCTTTCCTCCCCCACAGGTCAGGAGTCGGAGTGACTGGATCGAAGCAGACTATGTTCTACGCAGAGGTGTCCGATGAGAATTGCGTCGGAGAGGGAGGAGGTAAACCCCAAGAGGGCGAATTGATCGAGGTGGTCAAAGTGCCCCTGCACGAAGCCATGACCTTCGCCTTTGACGAGAGCATCCCGAAAACAATGGGTGTCATTTTCAGCTTCATCTGGTTCCACAGCAACATGTCACCGAAGTACAAGATCTCCACTAATGTGTAACGTAACAGTTCCAAGCCATCCTCTGAAATACAAGTCATTACATACATTTTTATACGTAGTAATCAAAATGGTCACTAACTGTTCATTTTTTTCGGGGTATTTCTTACACTTTTATCTGTTCGTTGTGGTTCTAGCTATTGTCTTATTTCAAACTGAAGCAGCACTTTTGTGCTACCAGCTTTCCACGGGAGCTGACACATCCCAATCGGTTAACCATAGAACTGAAGATGTTCATTGAGAGTTTGTTTTGTGTAACCGAATGCTTTGTTTTAAACATGTCAGGAATTTCAGCCAGCCATTTGAAATCACACCACAGCCCTTAAAGACTTTGTAACGGGGATCTTTTCCACTCTTGTTAGAGAGGGACAGATCTGAAAGACCGTGTTGATACCATCAGAGAGAGAACATCAGACCTGGATCATTCGCAATTGAAGCTGTACAATGTGGTCAGAAAGGGACAGTATATAGCCATATTCCAATTTTGCTGTTTAGAATAACAACACTAATTTTTGAAATAAATAAGCAAGTAAATAATCACAATAACGAATTTGAGTTTTATGTAAACAACACAGGCAGCTACCCAAACGAGCCACTTCTTGAAAACAATCATTGACAGAAAAACAATTACGCTCTTGCATATATCTCAGGTCCAAAGCTGACTTTGGGAAATTCAGGGTTAGTGACAATGCTGAAAAATACTGAAGTGTTTTTTTTATTGCCGCTTAACATTAAGTTGATATTCTAAGTGTGTTTTTGCACAGAATTTATGAAATATCTACTACAAAAACCTAAAGTATGAGTACAGTGCTAGTACTACAGGTTTAAAGCTGCTTTGCCATAATCATAATCTTAACTGAAACAACGTTCTGACTTCTTTCAGAACTTATGGAATAGACTATATTAGGGGTGCATGAGCTTGCCTGCTGAAAAAGTAGAAATTATTTTCAAACACCATGTAGTGTCAGAAGCCTGGTACCTCTCAAAGTCACAGGAACAAAAAGTATTGGCTTTCTAAAGTCCATGGATTACTATACTTGAAAATCATTTGTATTACTGTTGCGGTTTACTGTATGAATATATAGGGTGATTACTATAAATGCTTGAATATAATCAATATACCCTCAATATTCTCCATGATACCTCCAAGATTTGAGAGGCTGCTTGTAACTTCACTTACAAATTTTTTAAGGTGAGCTGAAGCTTTCTGAATCAGATTCTTGCTCTTAATTCAGTTCAAATTCTCTTAAGCACAAAGCATTCACTAGTTTAATTGATCGATCGATCGATCTATCAATCAATCATTTTTCCTATATCTTGTTGGCTTAATTATTTTGTGAAGGATATTGAAGTGCACAAACATTTGTTAATGCTTTCTTTGTTCTTGTCTTGACAACTATCACCTCCATGTTAAATAAATTCAATATTATCAGCTGATTGGATCTTATTGTAAAGCATTTCCTCTGTCCTATCACTGTATTTGGTCTATATTCTGTTGTGATTGAGTGTTATAACTTTATCAATACATATGGTCAATGTGCTAATTTACAAGTTACCATGTTCATATAATCAGACAAAAAGAGTGTTGTGGGAAGGACAAACAGGATTGATTTGGTCCACAATGACAGTGTTTTTAACTTTAAGCACTCCTTTTAAAGTATGCAAATGAGACATTTAAGAATTATGCATTTGTTTTGGGAGCATTATTTCTTATCACGATGCCTCAGATATCATCCCCTCATTTTCTTAATCTCTTCTTATAAAATAAACTCTAAATTTCTTTGAGTGTTTTGTACGTTTTTCTCAGGATAGGGCTTTTTTTTTTTTATTAATAAGTTGTTGATTTATTGTCATGTGCCACTGTTACTAATGCTTGTTTTTCCGACTATCTCAAGAGAGGTGCTCTTATGTCTTTATATATCTTTTTTTCTTTTCTTTTTTCTTTCTTTTTTTTTTGATCTCACAAAAGTTGTTTAACTGATTGTTTTCATGGCACCGCGAACAAATATATATATATATATATATATATTTCAATTATGTAATATATATATACGTAACTTTTGACATTTGAAAATATATATATATATTTCAAAAATGAAATATTGCATGTGCACTCTGTATTACATTGATCTGCATTCAGTTTAAATGAATAAAAAGGTTCCTGCCTTAGGTCATGGAGTCTCTACTTTCATCTATCAATGTAAGTCCGTATCTGTCCAAAATCAACCTCAATCAGCTGTAAAGTGTTGTAATGACTGATAAATAATACATTTAAATAGTGACCAAATCCACTCCACTTGCCCTCGTGTTACTCTCCTTTCGCATTACCACACCTTTTGGTTACAATCTGGCTTCCATGTGTCAAACGACGTTGATGTTTTCATTCAAGCTGAGGGACAATTTGTCAAGAGCTTCTCATCCAGAGCTCTCTAGGGGTCAGAGCGCTCTTCGTTATGTAGGGATTTGAGAGGAGTTGAGTTGTCAAGGTAATGTTTGTTTTCGTCTCTGCTCTTTTTAGGCACATTGGTAATCATTACACAGCCTTACTGACGGATGTCCGGGGCGAGGGATTGTGGAGGAGGGACAGGTGGGTGAGGGGGTCACAAATAATAGCATTAAGTAACTAAGTGCAACTACCACGACTTTGCTATAGCAACCGCACGCCTCACAACAAGACACACAATGAGTGTGATCCGTGAGGCAGGGGAGAGGAGAAGACATGGCAAGGCCACTATGCTTCTTGATTTACTGATGGCTTTGTTCAGATGACCCACAATAGGCTAGTGCACTGTACGCAGACTGAATGTATTATCAATACAAAACAATTGCTCATTTGTCTGCTGTACTAAACCTTTTTTTGGCTTTTCTTGTTGTGCATTTAATGTAATGAACCGGCCACCGCTCTAGCGACGTGATCATTATTTCATAGCACACCCCAACGGGATTAGCTTGCTTATAAATTTACATGAAGCCTTTTCCTTAGTTTTGTTTCAGGTGCAGTCAGTCCTTTTTTATCATTAACCCTGTAAAGCCTGACATATAAAATAATAGTCAGATAAAAAAAAATTTTAAATGGAACCATTTATTGAGCCTTTTGAAACTATAAAAATACACAATTTTAAAGTATGTGTATTTTTTGTTAAATATCATATTAAATTAGGCGTTTATGGCTCATATAGTGTGATATAGGAGAATATGGAACTCATTGTAGAGGAGGATTTTATTCAAAGGCCAAAACTGAGCAAAAATATGGAATTTTGTGCAATTGCTGATTTTTATACAGCTAAAATAGAAAGAAGAAATGTTGATAGCTTGTAATGTAATTCAAATAGGATCTTTATAACAGACTAATTCTATAAAATCCCTATTAAAATAGGTTGTCACTTATATATCTTCCAATAATATGTGTTGAGTGTTGATATATTTGGTGATATTTAAAGTCCCCCTGCAGTACAATAGTTTATCCCTTAAAACTCATCTTTGATCACCAAAATGGCATATTAAAAAAAAATCTAAGCATGCAGATTTTATTATGCATGCTTAATAAAATCTGTTTTATTTTACATGGAGAGGGTGACATGGAGTCAGTCATATTGAGATCATATGACCAGTTGAATGATACTATCTCAGTAATAAGCCTTCTAATGTCACTCACATACTCACATAATAGCTTACTGTAATCATGGTTGTCTGTATTTAGAGCATTTCTATTAGTGCTGTTTCATTGGTGAAAGAATCATTCTCATTTGTTTCCATTTCATTCGCTGAAGTATCGTATAGTATTGAATGTCTGTATATTCAGCACTTTCACACTGTAAAAATGCAGTAGTCCAACTGCAAAAGGTCAAAGAAAACTCAAAAGCACATTAGCCTACAGTACACTCAAAAAAGCTGTGCATCTGCAAAATCAAGGTCAGTGAGAGATATACTCTGCCTCATCGTCACGTCTTCATGTTGGGTCCAGCCTGAGGACTTCATCCACATCACAGGCAATGATATCTCTTCCAGTCACACCTTGCTCTTCCTCGTCCTCATCCTCTTCCTCCTCTCCCTCTCAGATTGTTTCCATCCATTGTTGGTATCAACATTCAGTGCACCTGTGTCACCTGTGCACTCTGAGCTGCAGGCGCACTGTAGAAACAAGTGGGAACAATTTTGAGCCGATGACAACTGTGTTGTAGTTGTGTTTAACTTCTGCCACTTGTGTTTACTGTTTTGCAACACAAGTGCATCACAGTGCAAAATGTGTACAAAATTTCTTTAATGAAATTTGCCTTTCCCTGAACTTGTTATTTGTTTGACAAATCGGCTTCGAGGCCTTTGATAATTTGGAGATTTGATAATAGAATGGAGTTTTTTAGCAATTATGAAAAAAATTTAAATTATGAAAATTCTGTCATCATTTACTCGACTTCATATCATTCCAAACCTGTTTGACTTTATTTCTGCACCATTCACCATCCATACCAGTTCACCATTCACCATAGGAGAACTCCGGTCAATTTTAACATTGAGTTATAGTCATTAGTTATATTAGGGTGTATTCACACCAGGAAAGTCCGATAGTTCACTTGCTTTGGTCCGGACCAAATAATTTTTTATTTTTTTTTGGTACGGTTCGCTTTCACACTGCGCTTTTTGCAAGTGAACAAAAATTTGTCAACAAAACCACACGTGTGCTAAGGTCGTCCATTCATTGGACAAGGATTCTCAAGTAGGGAAATCAGGAAGTGCAAAAAAGGTTCAGCATGGAGATATTTCGTACTGCAATATTTGTTATTTTACTAATTTTGTGTTATTCTGTACAAACGCAATATGAAGAAACTGCGCAGAAGACGGATAAGGTATAAAGTTTTGATTCATAGAGAGGGGCTATGTTCACACATTCAAATAATGAGATTCTTATTGTATATAGGCTACTGATACTGTCAATGTTAACGCTTGCGATTTAAGTTTGTCCAGTTTAATGCAGCGTCATCCTTGTATTGTAACTATCGTTATGAACTGCAAAAGCTTTTTTGCATCTATGCGCGATTAGACTAAAGAGAACGCGCTGTATGTGAATGTCCTGATGCACACACTCATTCATTCATTCCATTCCAATGATGCACACACACGGCGCGCAGAAAGACGCGCAACAGTATCGTGTGGCCAGACAGCGCGCCGGAATGGAATTCTCTTTTGCACTTGAACAACAATAACACAAACCATTATGCCAAAATCTCCGACTACGGAAGCCTTTTAACTCAAAGGCGCGGTGCTTTCTTGCAATTGGGTCGGTTCATGTTCACACCGTAAACGAACCGTACCAGAGTTCGTTTGGAACCGTACCGAGACCACCTCTTCAGCTGGGTCTCGGTTCGGTTGTTTGGTCCGCACCCGAGTTCGATTGCTGCATTCACACCTGCCCAAAAGGTCCGCACCAAGGGGGGAAACGAACTAGAGTTCGATTCAATCGAACCAAACAAGGCAGGTGTGAATACTTATGCCGAGTTCAGACTGCACGATTTTAGCCCCGATTTTGGCTCGCCGACAGGTTTTGAGAAATCGCCGACAAATGCCCGAAATCACAGGCAAATCGGTGCTCGTTCACGCGAGTGACAATCACGCAGTGTGAATGAGCAAAGACGCGATCTGAGAGAATCGCCGACAAGTCGCCGACGCCCGTGAGATATTTGGCATGCTAAATATCTGGACCTGTCGGCGATTCACAATCCTGTTGTGTGAATGTGTTCTGACTGAAAACTACATCGGCGATGACCGACAGCCAATGAGAGAGCAAGATACAGGGAGGAGGAGGAGTAGTTATAGACCAGAATGTCAGTATTTTAATAGATAGGCCTATATTTACAATTATATCAAACAAAAACAAAGCACAAACATTTGCATGACCAGCAGCAACAGCAGAACATTTGCAAAATTATTTATTTACCCCCAACTCTCTTTGCAAAACACAGTCCTTGCTACCCTCGTCTTCCCAACCATTTCCAGCATAAACTGTTTATTTTTTCTTTTTCATTTTCGCTACAAATCAGTGCACATACAATTTGTAGACTATCATTTTTAATAACAAATTCAGTGTCGCGCGAGAACTCCGGTCTCACGCACGCGTGATCTTCCGTTATTTCCTATCACTTCTCGCGTTTGTTTGGTTGTGAAACGTAGTTTGCGGACCAGGGATAAGTTGTCGGCGATTCTTTCTTTTGTAAAGTCATGCAGTGTGAAACCTCCTGTCGCCGATCCATCGTGCAGTGTGAACACAGCAGCAACTGAATGTTACCCCAGATAGTCATGCAGTGTGAAAACAACAGTGACCCGATTATTTTGAAAATCGTGCAGTCTGAACTCGGCATTACCAATGATCGCGCGCGCGAACTCGACAATTGACTACTGTGGACTTCGAACGAAAACAGGAAGTAAATACAGGTATGATAGCTGGCTGAATTAACATCATTTTTATTAATATCTTGCACATCTACTGCAGTCAGATTGACCGTGGTCACTCTTAATAACACCACTCACATGGCTGTGCACTTGTAATGACACATCAAGGATGTTAAGAGGCTGAAAGCAGGTTTAGAACTTGCCCCATTGAAGTCAACAGGGTGCGAATTTTAAAAAGAGGATAACACGGTGTAGGCAACACCGATTTTTGTCGTTTTTGTCTGTACTGACAGCACTCCAAATGTACAAAAAAATGAGCTCAATGTTAAAATTGACCGGAGTTCTCCTTTAAAATGTCTTATTTTGTGTTCTGCAGTAGACAGAAAGTCATGCTAGAAAGA